CCCCGAGTTTATGCTTTTACCCTCTCAGATCAATCTCGTACCAATTAGGAGACCCGGAAGAAGATTAAGAGGGTGGCTTAGTCGGCCTGGGCAGATATAGGCACGGGATTCAATCCCCACACCATGAGCGTGTATTGGTGCGCCACTTGCCACTATCCCACCTCCTTTCACTAAATATTGTATTAGTGAACTACAGTATGTGTGTCAACCATTCCAGACTATACCATCTTTCCCTCCCACCGTTTATACTTCGATAGTAAGAGGTAATTTGAACGCATTTGTATTCGAATGCATTTTCTCGCAATTGCTGTAATTCCAAAACAGCAGCAAGCCTTGAACTTTGAACAAAGTACTCAATCAATGTGTTTGTCCTGAAACGATTGCAGACATAATGCCTATCATTAAACCAAATGACGACTACTGTAAAGTACTTTGTTACCCCCGCAGTATCGAAAACATATTTTAAGGGAACGAGAAACATCTGTTTTACATGTGGGAACGTTCAATATGCTCGAATAATGGTTCGGATCATTTGAAACGATCCTATTAAACTGAAGATGTATTGGAGAGTTACAGTTCAGCACGATCAAAAGGCCTACAGTAATTTCGCTTCAGGAAACTTTTTGCAAGAGGCATAAATAAAGACAAACATTACACAAAAGCTGGTAGACGAAGAAACCTGTAGGGAACGTTCAGATGTCCTTGAGAGCGATTGAAAAAAGGAAAGAAAGTAATTATAACCAGTAATTTCATTTATTTCCAGCAGCTGATGTTACTCAAAGTGCTCTCAGAGTGCATAATATTATGTTATAAGCATGTGACAGCTTCTCTACGTGGTATACACAGCGTATGTATGTTTATCACAAGTTACCACAACAGAAAATCTAGTAAAAACCTGTAGATCTAAGAAATACTTTCGAGTAATCTGACTGGCGTGTTTTACAACGTCTTCAACAACTTCCTTTACACTTGAGAGCAAACGTAAGTTTTAGACAGGGGTTTTGCATGAGGTCCGAATAACTCAGGTGTGCAAGAGATTTGCAACCTCATTGTAATGAAGGGAGAAGGAAAGGAAGGAGCAAAAAGGTGAAGGTAAAGAGTAATGTGAGAAGGATGTGTTAAAGTCGCCAAATCTTCGACATGACTGGGAAGTAACGGGTTTAGCATTTAGGTAGTCGAGGCTTTTAGAAACCTCCTTTTTTATGATAAAATAGTAAAAATGCTATTCGAATGGTGGAAATCAAGAAATGTGTTTTTCATGGTACATCTGTTTGTCTACCCCTAGTACTACCACTACTGAACTTTATAATGAATCCCGATGCTTTTGGCTATGGGAAGGGGTATTTGCAAGCGCATTAGAGTGATTTTTTCACAGTTCATATTTTATCAATATCCAGGTTACTTATTAAGCATCATCAGGTTTGTTATAAGATTTTGGACAGCTGAGGCCCCTTGGGGGTCCTTCGAGTTGCAGCCTACATTTTTTATTTTAGCTAATTTTATGCTTTCACCTGGGTGCAATTTAGGGTAGTCAGTAAAATATGATTATTCAAAAAAGGCCAAACAAAACTCATAACTTTTTGCTGTAACTGTATTTGATTCAAGTAAAGTGAAGAATTCGCTCGTTAAAGGGAACTCGGCGCTTAGGTATTCACACATGTAAGCTTTAAATGTTCTAGGGAGTTGCCGGCCTCTCTCAATTTCACAATTCAATTTAGAAAACAAAAAATTGATTTAATTAAAGAGTTGCTTACGGTATATGGCTTGCTCCATGGTTTCTTTGATTCGTAGCACTTCATCCATTGACATTTTCCTGAGATACTGCCGTGCCTGACGAGGTACACCACTCGCTTTCGACTTCGTACTAAACGGTTACAAGTTAAATATCTTCGCATTACAGTATCACATCCAGAAATGAGCAGTAAGTTTACCTTATCATGTGAGACTTTGCTAGCTCTAGCGCGAAATTTGAAAATAGAAATCTCGTAAAGGAACTATTTTCTATAACCAAGGGATAGGTATAGGTAAGAAGCCAAGTTGCAAAGGGTATTTAGGGATAATTTTTCATTTCTTCACTAGTAAACAAATTGTAACGGAAGCCGTTGCGCAGCGAAATTCACCTTCTATACCGGGCTAATGCCGTTTGTGCAGCTTTCTTCGCGTTGAGTAGTACGGTTGTTGTTTCAGCGTGAAGTAACGTCTGACGCTCAACTGTAAACATTAGAATTACCTGGAGAAAACATTTAGAGAAACGCTCTTCAAAAAGTTAGGATCGAGTGGGATCAATCTTTAACGGAATGCGCCATGCATCCCACCACTATGCGGCAATTGATAGGCTCCTGGCTCTGCCACATATATAGCCCTAAATACTTTTGGAAGTATCTACTTAGTAAGCCCTTTTTTTTGACCCTATTGATGAACCCGCTGTCAACTTGTCGGCTCCGAACGGACAAAATACTTGGAAGGCCACGGTAAGGTCCACGCCTAGGATTGAGCCCGTGATTATGCGTATGATAGCAGCTCTGAATACCGCTGCACCACCGTCGTCTACAACCTATGACAAGGCATAAAAGCAATTCTCCGTTCCAAACCACCTAACAAGCAGTTCAGGAACCCTTTTTAACCTTGTTTTCAGTACCCTTTCTTGTCAACGTTCTCTGGAAATGGCCCCTTCAGCTCTAAGTCTTCTGCAGCGCCCTGAACACAAGGGGCTTCTGAGCATTATGCATGAGTGTGCATCTTGTGGATTTATTGGGTGGTTGTTTACCAGTTAAGCAGCTTTACACGTATTATTCGGCAGCATCCGTTCTCCTAACTTGTCGCCATGTGTCAACAAAATTTACGGACGGCAAGAATGACGAAGGAAGGATGTGTCAAGAAAATTTTTTTCGCTAGCTGAAGAACGTGTGACGTCGTAGTAACACCGGCACCGCCTACTCCTCAAAACCTACTACTTTAGCTAATCGATAACAAGTTCAGCAAACAAATTCTGGACCGTACCCTTGTTTCCACTTGCAGCTCTTCATTTTGAAAAAATGGGGAAAAAAGGAATGAAATTGAAGAAGAAGAGGGCTGCATTTAATAAACGCCGCTCAAAAACTCTTCGCTCTGCCTAAAACCCCACAACGGGCTTAAACTTCTTTCCGGGCTAGCAAGTTTAGGCAATGCTAGTTGATGCACCTGGAAACTGGTTTGTAAAGGATAATTCATTCATCAGCAGAATGCCATTTTATGTGTCGTTTTTGACGAGTTAAAGAACTGCCCTTTCAGCTTTGTGGTAAGAGGGCCCGACAAAAAATGCTAGAGAACCAGTGCTCACGATCGTAAAACTTCTACGGTTGAAAGAATCAGAATGCCGAAAATGGATCTGTTGAAATCACACACCAGCACTCCAGTTCCGCAACCAGTTCAGTGGGTCAATGTAACGTGGAGCTGTTGCCACGTGTACGGCCCGGGGATCGAATCCTGATCCACCAAATCAATCAAGATTTCCGCATTTCTGGCATCGGCGGTGTCAAGCTTGTATGAGGACAAAAGCAGTGTTTTTAGATGAAGCTGAGCATTCCTAGTTTGAGGGCCACTGACATACCAATTTACCCATATGGGCGTTTCAGATCATTCCCACTCAGGGAAAATGCTCATTCTAGACAAAAGCGCGGCTCTGCTCCAAGTTTTAAACGATGTCGTTTTTCCGATTTATTTTCGTTTCTTTTCCGAGTACAGCTCCCAGGTAACTCGCGCTTGAATTACACAGGCACTCGAGCTTCTCTACCAGTTTAAAGTGAACTTTCCAGTTCGACGAGGTAAAACACTTGTTTCAACAAGTGGGTGGTACTATGTGAAATGGGTGGTCTATAGAAAACAGGATGTCACACAGGTTTTCCGCCAATTTTCACCAAAATCCGATCCCTCTCAGAGGGAAATACAAAATAACCCCTGTATTATATGAATACATAGTCAATATAATTAATTAAAATACAAAAGAGTGACTCCATGGCTTCAGGTCAATATTTTGTTCAGGAAGTGTCCAACTCTGAATGTTGGGTTCGGTGACAAAAAAGCGAAGATAGCTAGGTGGGAGGTGGCGCCGTTGCCACACGTATGTACTATCCGAAGATCGATCCCTATTCCAGCAAACCCAATTCGGCCTTCCAGCTTTTGGAATCGTTCTATTGGTATCATCCACGTCTTTGGGGATAGACATCGGCTGGTCTTATTAGTCTATGTATAGAGCAAATACCCATTCAAATGCCTTTGCGGACTCCGATTGAAGTGGAATGCGTGGAGTATTCCAAAAGTAAATAGAAAATAGACAAATTGGAACTAAAATGCTATTCTTTATTCTTTTTATGTGAAAAAATGATGTTATTAACCCTATAGGAGCTGTAAATTGGCTATACCCCTTGCGATTTATGACAACTCGTCATTCAAGACCCCCCGCGACGCGAGCCAGTTTCCTCGTATTACAATCCACCACCCCGGTAGGCGCACTTGATGTGAGCTTTTTGTGTTTGCGTCAGTATGCTAGCGAATCAAGTTGGGTGGTCTCAAATACACCCTTGGGGAACGACTTATCGACTATAAATCAGCATTCGAAAGAGCGGCTAGCGGCTCCCCATTTATATGATGTTTCGAGAGAAGAAACGAACACACACCCGGGGGATGGATCTAATGATCCATTCCAGCCAGAAGCGCCAGCATTTTCCACGTGAACTAAGATGATTGAACATTCTGAAGGGGGGAAGAAAGAAACGGGAAGGCTTAGCGTTGATGCTTTCCAAGCCATACTCTAACAAGGGCATGATTAATGGAGTCGAATTAACGGGGGGACCAGTTGCATGCGCCAGTAAATCCGTGTATGTCAGTGGGGGCCAGCTTAGGCATATTGACAGAAAGACGACGTGCGCAAAAGCTTCTGCTAAGCCAACTATTCATCACAACTATATAATCTCGTCCGAATATCTTTCGGGATGTCACAAGTGTCACTTCGGACCACTTATTTCATCCCTTCATTCTTGCCCCAGACCAGGATTAAAGGATGAATGACTGGATGACTGGTCCAAGGAAAAACTGCATAACGTATGACCTGCCATTCACATTCCAAAGCCCCTCTATTCCAACCGGTCCGAAACGCGACGCAAAGGGGCCAAATATGACCCCATTAGTGACTCATCGGCGACCACCTTATCTGTGGTGCTCCCTCCTATGCCCTCCCGTAGGCGGCCCCCCAGGGAGCTTCCATTCCCGTGTACAAATCATCGTGACGAACATCCATATAGCTGTGTGTATACGTGAATAGAGCTATGTTCGCCTCCCATCTTCCTTTACTCTCTACGTTCCCCTGACTTTCATCACACTCCTCCTTCCTGAAGTCTATACCCTTCAATGGTCGGTGTGCTCGGCAATTTCTGCTGCAGCTATGAACAAAAACAATGGGGTAGCTAAGATTTGTCCATAAAAATCCAGTCTTACGAGTAAATTACTAACCTGGAGAGCATGGAAATAGTAAATGGGCACCAAGAAGATTAGGGCTTACGTTCAGAAAGCCCTGGATTAAGACTGGATTAAGGCTCTCTCTGATTGCTGCGTTTCACGGAAACTGATGTCATAGCAAAGAATAATTTATATTATTTATAAATAACCTACATGGATCCAGATGCTGCTCGTGAATGGCCCGATCGCGAAGTTTCCGCAAATATGGATCCTCTTTCGATGAACCCGGACGGCTTGTTTCTGGAAATTCGCTCTATTTGATTGAGAAGTCAGTAATGTTCCTATACTGCTTTCCCTACCAGTTTTCTTAACTAGTAATAAATGCAGTAGAAAATCTCATTATTACAAAAACTCTCACGAAACCTATTAGTACACTGTTCATTAGGTTTCTTATCTCACCATACACAATTAGTAGGGACATTGAAGGATGTGAAAGAAAAATCCTCGAAGGCAATCGATTTCTTTAATGACGCCATACATTTAGCTTTTATCCGGAATTTTAGAAAAGCCTGAATAGCTGAATGTTGCAGTTGTTTCAGGAAAACTTGCTTACTTGTCTCGGAAAGAGAGTAAGCCAACTCTTCTGTTTACCAGTATAAACACTTCTACGTGCTCAGTAATAAGAGATGCAAATTGCTGTGAAGGTGTTCGTTTTAGTTCTTCTTCAACGGTTATTTACAGAATTGACTCAGATTCATGGTATTATTAGGATGGATGGAGGTGGTGTAGTGGCAAGTGGCGCACTATCACCCACGAATGATCAGGGAGATCGAGTATCGGATCGATACCCGTCCAATTCAAACAGACCTCCCATCCCTTCTGGGTCGGTTTCAGACTCGTATGGAAGGATAAAAACAGTGACTCCTATATCGGCTGGCCACCTCACCTCATTGTATAGGCCACTACGCATTCATCAAGCCCCTACAATTCTGAATGGAAGTCGAGTGCCGGTGCATCCCCACACGGGATTGGCAAACGCCCAGAGACCTTGTTTTTTGATGGGGCACATGAACTGATTATACCATAAGCCCATAGGATCCCAAAGAGTCCTTGTTGGGAAGTTACTGCATTTAAAACATTCCCCAGCTTTGGGAATTGGCGCAACCTGACCCTCGCAACTCTAAAGCAGTATTACTATTCGCCGGAACCAACCGGTTCTCCCTTTAAGTTCGGATCTTTACTATTTAGCTTATATTTCTTCCTTTGGAGCTGGAGGGACTGATAGAGATCCCTAAGTTACTCTATAGCAGTAAATTATACTTATTTATTCAGTGCATTCGTATAGTTTTTACGGGCCCAGTAGCAAATCAGTGGGACGTAAAAATCGTACACTCGTCACGGCACGGCCGGCCGCCGCTTGCTACGCCGTTCGGCGAAACCGTTGCACGGCCAACGACAGGAACATATGTGCGTCATTTCCCGTGCAATATGTGAAAAGTCACGTACACGAAAGAGTACGATTTTTTCGTCCGCCTTCCATCACGCCCAGTTCAAATAAAAATGCAAAACTCAGCGTCGAATATAAATGTATGGAGTCTTTCAATTGATTCAGAGGATTTCGGACGAGTTGTAAGTAATAAGTTATGTAACATTTCCCTAACAAAAAATTTTCATTCGTACAAACATTTGTGCTTAAGCGAGTCAATACTCGTCCAGCTCCTAGCCAACCCTAGCCAGTCAGTTAAGTATGCACGG